AACCACCATATACCTGGTATATAGCATTAAAATAATTAAAAGACTGAATCAGTCAAAATTGTATTGCACGTCTACCATATGGCAGACACTTTTTGATGTAAATATGAGGCTTAGTAATATACAGTAACAGCACTCAAAGAACAAACAATCTATGAGAGAACTGCTCCTGTTGAGGTCTGGGTTGATAATTATGGACCAGATCAGGAAATTAAAAATTTAAAAACTCTACTCACTTGAAGCTTGGTGGAGGATTCAGGAAACCTCCAAGAGGTCAACAATTTTCTATCATGCTTATTGGAATATTCCCTATGCCTAAAATAGGCCTTGCACGTGGCAGACAAAGGGTCAATATTTACAGCATGAGACATGCCCTACCTATAGCTGAGAACCACTTTCTGAGCAAATCAACCATGTTCCAAAATAGTAAAACTATAAACATTTCTTAATATAACAAGATATGATATGGGATCCTAAGAAAGGCTTAACCTATATGACAAATCTTTTTTGAAACATTAAAACCTTGGATATATTCATATCCATGTGTTTCTTCTTCATATAGGAAGCTTGGTAAATGTCAAGATCTACAAAGTAGAAAGAGGTTAAAACAAAGCAGATGAAAGGAATCGGATTATTCTCCCCACTGCTTCTCAAAGGAATGGGGATGAGTAGAGGGTATCCCTCCTTTCTTAGAAAGTTTTATCAAAACCATCTAGGGCCAGTTCAAACTTGTTCACTTGACCCTTAAGCCCCCAGACAAAAGTGGTAACTTGTTGAGCTACCTTTCCTGCATCCAAACACTCAGATTTGCATGGCAACACTACAGAATTTTACCGCATTCACATGTACAGTCATCACTATCATTATGAAATATGGCCCAGAAATAGATTAAATATATTTGTATCCAAAAGATGGACAATTTATATGGCTAATTTAAAATAGCAGATAAATCAAAGGGATTTAACATTACTCCTGACATATAGTATACTGTTTTAAGTGTTCTCATTATGCTTAAATTATGATTGAGTTAAAATTAAATATAACTTGAATGTTGTAAGCCAGTTTCTCCTCCCAGCAACCCTGTCTTTTTTTGAAGATTAGCATGATCACAATGTCATTATTTGAGACTATTTTATGAATTGTAAATATTTTTTTTAATTTACCTAAATTCTATTAACATTTTTAAAGTCTCTGTTTTCTTTGGAAGAATGGTAATAATTTCCATCTTGCAATATACTTGGAAAGAATATATGATACCCAATAATAATTGCTAATTTACTTCTTAAACACTGCTTCCATTATATCATTGTATGTGGCATCATTTTCTCTTGTTTTGAGTCAAAAATTTCTGACTCCCAAGATTGTACATGATCTACCTCTACATTATTTATGATCATTTGTTCATGTATTTCTTCTCTCATTAAATATACATTTAACATTTAATAATAATATATGAGCTCTTTTCAAGAAAAGAAAGCATGTGATAAGAAATATAAGCTTCTTTTTAAAAGGGAGCTCAGTTTAAATTAAGGTGATACTCTGAAGCAAATTATTTGGACCTAAAAGTATTCCCTTAACTCAGGAACCATCATCTGGGTTCTGATATGGAAATGAAATTGACAACCAGGTAAAGTAAGGAAAGAGCACATCTGCTGAGTAGTCAACCAAGGCAAAGCTGCCCCACAATTTTAAAGGAGAGCATGATCTCTCCTCTACCATAGGGACACCTTTCTCCCTAATCAATGCAAAAAGACAGACCGTTTTTGCTGTTAGCTTTCTTCTACAGTTTCTCTCCAGGACCCTATCTGACATTTCGTCTAAGTCTCTATGTCTATGTAGGCCGCAAGCCTGGTGAACCATAATTTTAGATGACCATGAGAAGCCATAAAGCATGGCCAGCACAGGAGATAATTATTTGAACATTGTTAGAGAAAAACTGAATGTTCCTGGCCTTGAATTTCCATGAGGTAGCTTCATTAGAGCATCATTGTTGGTTTCTCTTTCTGTTTCTCATTCTCATTTGATGCTGAATTAGAGGAAGTGGAAAGAACCTGCTCAGGCCAGTATTTTGGGTCTAACAGGCTACAACAGGGCAGTGGGTAAGGGGGAGAGGGAGGACTTTAGTCTTCTGTCTGTCTTGCCTAAAGTTGTCTGCCTGACTCTAGGGGGAAAACCTGAAATTGTCCAGTTGGAAAGTGGTGAAAGTTGGGAATAAGACTGTCTAAGTCTAATTTAGAACAAGGTCTCTAAACCTCAGTATTGTTGACATTTTGGGCCAGATAATTAAAAATTCTATGCTATGTAGGGCTGTCTGCTGTGCTATAGGATACTGAGCAGCATCCCAGGCCTCTCTGTCTCTCTCTCACAATTAGTAGTAGCATCTCCCTATACCCACCCCCGCCCCACCCACCAATGGTAACAATAAGAAAAGTCTACAGACATTGCCAAATGTCCCTGGGAACTGACATGAACACAAATTACTCACAGTTGAGAACCACTGATTTAGAATAATGAATACCTTGTGACTATACACTTAAGTATACAAAATTGTATGTGCAATTCAGTTCTCATCAATAATAAAACTATTTCATTCTTCATCTATGTGATTTCCATGTCTGTCTCTCAGTTGGTTATGAAGTTGGGGAGGGAAGAGGAGGAATATTATTACCTCTCCAAATCTCTTACCTATATTAATTACTTAAAATGCAACTAATATATTGTTTTAAAAAGTTATTTTCTCTCCCATAGTTCCATTCTCTGATACTCTATTTACTTTAATTTGTATTTGAGATAGAGTCTTAGTCTATTATCTGATTTTTTAATAGACCGCACAAGTCCTCTTGACTGTTTTTAAAATATAAAATGCAGCACTTTGTTATTTCTTTGACACTTTCAAAACCATACTTACTGTCTGGTGAATATATTGTATCATTCCTACCTAGAAACCTTTACATTTTCACGTCTTTCAAAAAAAACACAAACGAAGCAAACAAAAAGACAACAGGAAAACAAATCTCTAAAAGCAGTTTAACTCCTAACTTCTTAATAAATTACATAACTAATAAACTAATTGAATCTTTCAATTTTATAAAGATGAAAACTGAGTCCTAGGAAGAGACATGATTTGTCTAAGGTCACAAAGCCAATGAGTAGTAGGACTAAAACTAGACCTTACCCTCCTACATCTCAGTTTAATACTTTTAACACTTCATGATTGGAGGACTATGGTCACATCTCCATTCTCTAAAGTTTTATAGTATTTATAATATACTGCCTATAATATATCTTAGAATGGCATATCTTTTATTGCTTAGGTTATTTTCCTCCTAATTTTCCCATGTATTTATTTTTTCTCCTATAATAATGGTAAGTTCTATGAGGACAAGAACCAAATCAAATTCTCTGTTGCATTACTCCAAAAGCCTTCTTATTAGGCATCATTTGTGGGCCAAATAAGTCTATACTGATTGTTTTCCAGGTAGTAGAAAAAAAGCAACTCAGAGACATAATGAATGACATAAGAATAACATCTCTACAGGAATTTTGAAATTTTAGATAATTTAGGCAGTAAAATCTGTTGATTGTCTATTTGTGCATCTACATATGGCACTGTAAATAATGGATGACTTGTATTTACTCACTTCATCCTCTCAACATCCCTATTATTTTTCTCAATACGCAGACAAGGAGACAGAAGCAGGATAGAAAGTCCAAGAAGCATGCCAAAGTTACAAAACTAGTAAAAATTTAACAGTCAAAAGGTTAATATGAAAAGTTCATAGTGAGGAGTTGAAAACATTCATATGACTCATAAATGATGATCCTCTATACATATCTATTGCCAAGGCTAGTAATTTGCTGTCTGTGTGTTGCTTGGTATTCATAAAAGAAATTAGTGCCATGAACAAATAAAAATGTGTTTGAATTTCTGTACTCATTTTCCGTTTCACAGAGATAATGGTATAAACGTAATTTTATAAACTGCCAATAGACCAAAATATAATTAACAGGTGTTAGTATAAATAAAACCATGTTTCATGAAATTGAGAATTTTTCTCCTTCAGTGTAATTGTTTGAAATCTAATTTTAGGCATGGGGAAAAAGGTAAAGAACATAGATATCCAAGAAATTATATTAAATATCAAAAGCTGGGGTGGGAGAAGGTAGGTAGAGAGAAAGAAAACAGAGTATAGTTTTAGGTAATAAATTTGCAAGATCAATATAATATGTATTTTATATTGGCATGAGGTAAAATATACAGAGTACACCAAAAGCTCAATTATCTTTTAGAAGTAGGTGGTTTACATATTATCATTTCTCCTCAATAGCTCGCTGCCAATTCAAAAAGAAAGAACACAAGTTTGAGGATATTGACAAAATTTCTTCCGAATCTGACTAAGTTTCACCAAGGAGAAATAAAGATAAATTTAAAGAGACCATTAGTGGTTGCTGTGCAGTACTGTGCTGCTAGTTGTATGCTTTTTATTAATAAACATATTACTTTCCATCTTATAATGTTGAAAAAAATCACATTGATTCAAAAGCTGTAACAACAAGAGTCCACAGAGTTACCAGGCATAAACCATTCTACATCATCCTGGGAAGCAGAGTGATTCTGGAAAGAACTATTTCATCCTTCATGGGACACATCAAAGCAGGCGGACAAAGTCCTGTGAGTTCTGATTATCCCCAGGACAAAATAAATATTACAATTCATGTTTTAATTATATCTCATTATGGCTTTTTCAATTTATGAATTCACTTTGGAAACAATGGAAAACTACTTGATCGACCAAAAGGAACTTTTGGTTCACGCTTCCTTTATTTTAGCATTCTTGTATTTTAAATATGTAGCTCAATAATTTAAATTTAATGCCATCACATACATATTTTGGATGCAGGGCAGAGTCATGGGAGATCTCACATAGACTGCCAAAGCGTACCAACAAATAAGAGGAGTGAATTAAAAGAACACAAAGCTTTAAAAAGGAGGTACTACTCACGATGTTCATCAGGGTCAGGAGGTAGTTTTGGACGTGCTCTTTGCCATGGAAACGGACCACAGAGTCATCCACTCCCAGCAGTACCTCGATGTTGTAATCGTTTTCTCCCGCGTGTCTGCGGCGTCTCATTGTTTCATTCAGCTGCTGGTGGATGTTGCCATAAACAGTACCTAGATCATCAAGGCCTTCCAGGTCCGATTCTATTAAGAAACAAAAGGAACCAGGAATTTCAGTTTCACCAACAGGCCTTCCAATAACTTCTTAAAAGAATCATCTCAGGGGCCTACGATTATCATTCACAATCACTGACATGCTCCTTTTCAGTTCATTCCTTAAATAATATGCATATGCATATGATCAGACAGACCTGCTACAAATTCAACATAGAACAGCAACACTGAGGGTAAAATCATATTATACAGGGAGCAGTGCCATCATAGCAGACTGACTATCCTGTAAGGATAGGAGTGGTTCAGTTTTTCTCCCAGCAAAGAGCCAAGGAGTGGGGGTACAGAATACAGGCTAGATATATAGTTATTAAATAGAGATCACAAATAAAAATAACTCCAGTATGTTTACAGTGATTAAGTTACTATAACCATGGAGTATAGAATTGGTGTCAAATAAATTTAAATTTCTCCTCTTTCCAGTAACCTTAATTTAAAAATCAAATTATAGCATGGCAATATAACAGCATCAAGTGATATGATTATGAGTCACTATGTATTGCTTTATTTCTTCTGAATACGGTTTTCTAGTGAATGCTGCTAGTGAAGAAGTGGATATACAGGGTATATACTATATATATATATGTGTGTGTGGTGGTATATATGGATAAGATAGTATATAATATACGGGATATATATTATATACATATGCCAATAAAATGTGTGTGTGTGTGTGTGTGTGTGTGTGTGTGTGTGTGTGTGCAGGATGTACAGAAAACTCTAGTTATCTACATTTGCACTGGCCATCATTTGGATGGCAAGTCATTTTGGTTACCATATATCTGAATCTGAGATATCCAAGTAAGAAGTCAGTCAGAAAATAACGTATATTCAAAAAAAAAAGTAAAAATAATTTCCTACTTAATGCAGTTCAAGAAACTTACATTTTTTGCTTTCCAAATGAAATTTCATACCCCCCACACACATATACATACACACATACCTATATATATGGAAAGAGTGAGAGAGACATCATCAGGTTTTAATGATCTAAGTTATCTTTTTATAGATGACTAGATTTTTTAAGGAAAAAATGTTTTAGTGAATTAAAAAATAAAATCATTTGGATTAAAATTAAAATCAAAACTGCTGGGGCATAAAAACAAAAATATATTCATCTCCATTTCAAGTATATAAAACTAGGAAAGGATTTTATTTTATAAACTGCCTTGATGTCTAAAACAACCACGTATCTAAACACAGGTTTGACAGAACCAACCCTGACTCATGCTTTATATGAAGGTTTATTTCATGCCACACTGGGGCTCGTAAGCCATTTCAGTCAGCATCTGACATTAATAAATAGGTATTCTCCTCTCCACCTTTGTGGCTTTAATAAAATTAAGACAGGGGAAAAATAGGTGTCTCTTGGCTGGGAAGATTGATGACCAAGCCCTAGCCACAAAGGATTCGAAATAGTGAAAGAACAGATCCTGCTCACACTCTTTCTTCCTTTAAAAAAATATATAGAAACACCATCACCCTCCCTTACAAGTAGGGCCACAAGCTCTGAATGTGACTACTCAGGTTTGAAAGCTATACTTTAATTCACTTTGACCTAAGCCCAACTGCTAGCTCATTAGCTGGGAAAATTCTCCTCACCAAGGAATTACACTGGCTCCACAATACATAAATAACTCTCACCATCATCCACATCAAACAGAAAGCTTTCCTCAAAAGTTTTCAAGAGCTGCAAACCCTCACTGAGGTCAAGACACTACTACACCTGCAAATAGCTTTACTATTCAACCTCAAGTCTTTTCACACACTTGAGAATGTGAAAGGTTGTGATAGCTGGTGTACAAATATAGGAAATTCAGACATGAGCTCTCAATTCTAAAAATGGCTCTTTTTGGCAGAACGCTCAGAGAAAACGTCCAATGGAAATATACCAGCAATGTTATTATATCATGAAGGCTGATGTGTGAATGAAGAAGTCTGAATACTTGTTTCAGAAAGGCAGTTCATTCTGCTTTAACACACCTTTGGTTTGGCCTTTGCAAGCCTCTTTAAATAGGTAGTTTTCTCATAAGGAAACAGAATCTTTTTTTTTTTTTTTTTCCTGCATAAGAAACCTGGGAAAGAAGGGAGCCTTTGAAAATCAAGAATACTTTTGTCCCTACTTTCCTCCATGGGGTGCAGTGTTCTTTCCATGTTTCCAAAAATGCACAATATAAAATATTTCAAAGAAAGACAATAGGATAGCTTCTGGTACTTTGTACTTATACTCATCATTATAATTACAGAGAGCTCTGAGGCTGTGAAATACCTTCATTGATAATGAATTTGTCTTGGTAAAACTGCAAAATAATGGCAAAATTATTGCAGTAAGAGAAACTGACATAGTTGACTCCATCTTGCTTCTAACCTCCAAGCTGCTCTTGTTTATTTCTGGGCATAGGCCAAACTAACGTTGGGAGGAATTTAGTTCATAATTTGACCTTAAAGCAAGGATGACCATAGCCCTTCCTACACTAAGCTGCTTTTGTAAAACTAAAGAAAGTCCGCTAGGTTAAAATTATGAATGAGGTCTGAATTCTTTTAAGATACAGACATAATTAAATGATAAACCACTATTGCTCCAGTATCACAAGATTGAAAACTTTCCCAATTCCCTCTTCTTCTTTTTTTTTTTTTTTTTTTTTTTTTTTCTTTTTTTCTTTTTTTTTTTTTTTTTTTTTTTTTTTTTTTAAGACAGATTCTCGCTCTGTTGCCCAGCCTGGAGTGCAGTGTTGTGATATCGGCTAACTGCAACCTCCGTCTTCTCAGTACAAGTGATTCTTATGCCTCAGTCCTTGGAGTAGGAGGGACTACAGGTGAACACCACCATGCCCAGCTATTTTGTGTATGTGTATTTTTAGTAGAGCTGGTGTTTCACCACATTGGCCAGCCTAGTCTCAAACTCCTAACCTCAGTGATCTACCCACCTCAGCCTCCCAAAGTGCTAGAATTACAGACATGAGCCACCATGCCTGGCCCCCGTTACTTCTGTAGATAGCACCACTATTGTGGAACCTAAGATTGAACTGAGATATTTTTTAGACTGTGCACTCTGGCAAACTACTGACACCACCCAAATGTATGATTCATGACTCAGCTGGTACTGTGGCTCCCAGAGGTAGACTCAGTGTATGATGACCATTTTCCAACACCTACTGAAGTGGTATCATTGTCTGGGGTATATACCCAAGGTTCGTCATCTTGTGCCAAGGAAATTCCGTATGGGGACACACACAAGAAGTGGTTTTAGGAACAGAGGTTTAACAGGCAAAAGAGAGAACAAGGAGAACAGCTCTCTCTCCTGTGAGAGAGAAGGGCACCTGAATGGTGCTTCCAGCTCTCAGCAAAGTGCGCTGGATTTTATAGACAGGTTTGAGGAAGTAGTATTTGATTTACATAGGGCCCACAGATTGGTTGGACCAGGTGTGACATTTACATAGCATGCTAGGAAGCTGGCCACCTCACCCTAATCTTATTATTTAAATGGGCTTTCCACCTGGTCAGTGCCATGTTGTCCCCTCACTGTACATGTGGCTGGCAAAGAGAAGAGGAGATGGAGCTGCCGTGTTGGATATGCCTAGCCCACAGGTAGCCTCTTTCCTATTGGCACAACTGCTGGCATTCACCTGTACAAGTTTTTAGCTTGCCTTTCTATGTCTGCAACTAGATTTTACAGGTTGCTCTTTGTTTGAAAAGAAAATGATTTGGGGACTGCTTTTCATTAAAAGAAAAACCATACCAACAACTTCCCTACCCTCACTATCTGCCTAAATAATTTCTTCTTTACTCCTATATCACCATGATTGTGTCTCCAAACAATCAGCAGCACCCATTCCTTAGTCCCCTCCTTACCAAACTATCTTTGAAAAATCCTAACCTCTGAGTCTTTAGGGAAACTGATTTGAGTAATAACTCCACTTGCCATGTGGCTTGAATGGTGCTAGCTGAGTTGGGCAGCAGAGAGTTATTTACATAATAACAGAATTAGCAGAAAAAAGGAAAATCCAGACTACAGAGAGCTTTCTAACAGGCGTGTTCTCAATTGAGCATTCAAAAGGAAAAACATGTCCCTGCAAGAGGTGGAGCAGTGTTATTACTCTCATGCTTCATTCCAAAAAGGTGATTCTCACAGTGCTTTTTAAGCTTCTCAGAAACATCAAAGGCAATCCCCTCTTCGTTCCTAGAGTTAGTTTTCTTTTTTAAAACTTTTTGGGAAAACCTACGTTTTTGAAGTTCACCTTAGGAATTACTGATGTGCATTTAATTAATATTTTGGAAACATTTTAATTGTATCCTTTTGTTTCCCAATTGCTGTATATGAATTTGCAGAAAATGATAACTTTACTATAAGGCCCATTTTATCAGAATGAACTTTTGAGGGGCATATAGGTGTTCAACCAAATAATGAATGCAGTCATGTTTAGTGTTAAGTACAGGATAATTAATGTTACATCAGAATTTTGAACTTACTAAACAGATAAAGTAGAATACAGCTTTCTTTGCTGATTATGGGCACTAAGTCTTGAAACATTTCTAGGAGTAGGGCATGTTCATATGCTTAATCATATTTATAAGAAATCTAAGTATTGGATTAGTGAAATTGCTCCCTATCCTAGAAAAATTCCTATGTTCTGAAAAAGGACAGGAAACAAAGGTAAAATTGGAAAGGTACAAGTTCTGAATCTAATACAAATACATTTGGGGTTGAAATGCAATTATAAGCAAACTATGATAGAGACTGTGATAAAACCATCTACTCAAAATGCATTCTCTATTCCCTACAGAGCAGAATGTTAATTTTATTTGAAATAACAAACTCTGCCAAAAGTCACTCCCAATCTCCCTGTGACTAAGAATTACATGTGACTAAGTATAAGCCAATGAGATCTAAGCAGAAGTATTGCTTATATCTTGGTGGCTTATGTGTCCTCAAAGGAAGACAGTTCATTCCAGCAGGTGCATACTCCTTTGGC